AGTATCAACGAGAGAAGATTTAATTACGATAAGAGCTTATCAATTACTTCTAAAGTAATCGGAGATCTAAGAAGGTATATAGTAGCTAGAACGTCTTCGAGAAAGTAATAAGGAAGCTTATAATAAACGATATATACTTCGGAATACGCTGCTAGAGGTAGATAAACTTATACTATTGCATAATTCGATTACCTAGAGCGATCTACGTACCGATACTAGACTCCGATATCGATAGTTAGGACCTTATCGAATTACTACCGTTAAAGGAAATAGAGTATACGCGTTAAAAGAGCTTAATAGGATACTTATCTATCACGCTTTCTTATAGCTATCGGATAGAATTCGACGTCCTAATATAGTGAATAGAAATAGGTTAAAGAGATTCTAGCCTCGATTAGATCTTCTCCTACTAAATAATAAGCGTCCTATAGTAGCGCTAATCTAATAATAAGGTACGATATTTTTATTATTATTTTTCTCTTTTTCTTTCTTTTTTCTTTCTTCTTTTCTTTCTTCTTTTTTTACGACTAGGGATAGTCTTACTAGAAGAGGGGAAAGGGTCTTATAAGCTTCGCTCTTCCGAGGAAGCTATTTTAGGAAGCCCTTTAATTCCTTTATTTCCTAAGTTTTTCGGCTAAAAAAGTCTTACCGCTTTATTTTAATTTTAGTATTTAGATTCTTCCGCGAGATATATATTAGTTATAAAAAAGGGAGATAAAAAGGGGAAGAGATATTCGGTAGGGTTACTTATAATAAGTACTTAGAAAGTTTTAAAGATAGCTACGAATAATTATTAGCTAGTAGTTAAAACTAGCTCTTAGGATCTAGAGATAGTTCTAAATAGTTAGCGATTTAACACGCTAGAGGAGGTAAAGAAGGAGATCGAGAAATACCCTAAGGAAGTATAATATAATATATAGGTAGAAGTAAAGACCTAGCTTTATCGCAACGCTCTACTAGGTGCGATAATAATTACTAACTAGCTTGATTATACTGTTAGTAGACGAATATAGTAAAAGGTAATAATAGAGAAGGAATTTAATACGGAATAGGAAGAAGAAAGGAAGGATAGTAAAGCTTATAAGAAGGGCCTCTCTTATATCTTGCGTATAAAAGAGCGAGTAGCGGAAACCTAGGGTAAGGAGAACGCTCTAGCCCTCTTTCGGTCGGTAATAACTATATCTATCGCTAAAAGGATTAACTAGCTATATTCAAAACAGGTTTCCTATTAGTAAATATAGTTAGCGGTAAATAATAAGCTTTTAAACCGCCTAAAAAGGATAGGTAGAGGGTATAGGAGGGTGAAATCTGCTATCTAAGGGGATTTTAGTAGAGTAGTACTTCGGTTCGATTAGACCCCGCTAAGCTTACGGGATCTAAGGAAATTCGACCTTATAATTAGTATAGATAGCTTTCTTTAGGGGAAGGATAAAGGAGAGATAGATATTAGCCTAGATTTATCAGCTTCTTCACGATCCACGTTAGTTTAGTAGGATATCCCTACCCCTACTCGGTCTATTTCGCTAGCTACTATAAGTAAGCTATCTATATTAGAAACAAGCGATTTTTCGGAAGAATTTAGCAGCGATTCGATGTAGCTTTCTAAAGCTTCTTTTAAGAATAGAAAGAAGGTAAGGGGATCAGTATATAACTATTAGATCCCTAAAGGACTCGTTTAGGGACTAGTAAGGAAGAAGGAACCGTATAAAGCTAGTGATTATAAGAGGAAGCTTTTACTAAGATAGCTTAGGCGGTATATTAATTCATCGACTATCTACTATAAGTATATATTAGCTATTTATAGTTAGATCGGTCTATATATTAGAAATTACCGTTATTAGGATCTTATTCGAAAACTACGTGCTTACTATTAGAATCTTAGGATATAGGAAAAGTTTAAAAATTAGAAGGCCTTATAGTTTAAGAAGAGATATCGCTTATCTAATAATAAACCTAGACCCTATCGCTTCCTATTTAAAGACTTCCTACCGAAAATCGATAATTTTGTATCCTGTAATCTCTCTATTAAATAGCTATTTAAGAGATATTTTAATTAGCTATAGGAGGCTAATACTTAGGCTTTTCTTTAGGCTTTTCAGAATAGCGGGAATATAGTTCTACGGGGATATTATAGCTAGCTAAAGGAGATAAAGGATAAAGCGACTAGGCTATCCCTTCTATAAGCTATACTTCTTAAGTTTAACCTCTATAACTACTACTACACGCCGCGACCTAGAAAGCCGCGATTAGGATAGAATAGGCTAATAATTTATAGTCTTATATAACAGCTTTTACGGTAGGATCCTACGTACTATATAATATATATATTCTTACGCCCTAATTATACGTAGCGCCTTATCTCGTTTCCGTACTACACGAAGAGTATATATCCTAGGGAAAACACTTAGTTCTGATATATTAATATTAATTTATTAGATTATATTACTACCGGAAGGGGAGGTAATATTATTCAAGGATCTATTTCTCTAACCGATAAGAACGCAGAGAACTATACCGAGATTCTGCTAGGGATTTATAATTATATTAAGGATTAGTAGGCGCGTATTCAAGATAATCCTACTACTCCTATCTCTAGATATATTTATAGGATTAAAGACTAGATATAGACGGATTAGGATACTAAAAGATACGGAATAGGTTAGGAGAAGGTAATATATTATAGTAGAGATATACGTATCTCTAGCCCTCTGTTACCTTATAGATCGACTAGACTAGCTACGATTTAACGCTGAACGATACTACTATAGTATATCTCGGTTAATAGAGACTATAGAGGATTAGATACTACTAAATCTAGTATATAGGGAGAGCTTTCGAACGGATACCGAGACCTGATACTTGCACCTAAGACGCCTTCTAGTTTTATAAGTAGAAAATATTATACTATTATTTATCCCTTCCCTATAGCCTTACCGCTTACCGGGTTAGGAAGCTTATTAGATACCTTAGTAGGCCGAACACGCTATAAAAACTTTATTATAAAGCAGGACCTTGATATCCTATTTAGGGATAATAATACTATCGCGAAGCGTTTTATAACCGAATAGAGAAGGCAGGCTACTACCCGGTTCTTCGATACCTTTAAATAAGTTATATAGGCGGAGAAGGCTACTTTTAGAGAGCGATCTTTCTTCCTTTTAAAGAAGTATAGATTTTAACTACCGATACCTATACTAAATACTAGAGACTAAAAATCTTCCTCGGAAGTAGCTCTATCTATCTATCTATAGTTTAGGTATTCCTCCTCTTCGAAAGAAATCTCCGATATAATCCCTATTACGGACTAATAATTATAGCGGCCGTAATAGTAGTAGGAGATTGCGGTTCGTAGTGTTATTAGTAGTAAGATATAATAGTAGCGGAGGCCGCGCTAAGGCGAGATAGGATCGAAAGGTGCTTACTAGAAAGAGGCTGTTAGAGTAGGATATAAAGATATAGGTACCCTACTTACTATTCTTATAGACCGGCTTATATAGCGCTCTACTTCCTTAATAAACTAGTAATAGAGAGAGCGTATAATATTCAAGAAAAGCTCTCTAGTATATAGTATATCGGGAATAGTATCTAGGCTAGGCGAAGCTATCGACACGCGCTAGACTCGCTATCCCTATTCGATAAGCACTTTTAGCTTAGAGAAGTCGTCTTCGAGACCCTATACGGACTACTAAAAACCTTAGATATTAGTATATATTATAGCACTCTCTACTAACTAATCTCTTACTTACCTAAACGCAACTTAGGTCGGAATTAGGGTAAGAGCCCTTAAATAAAGCTATCGTAGAGGTCTTAAGGACCTCTACTAAGTAGAAGGAATAATAAGGTATAAGGGGGAGGTAAAAGATAAAGTGTTAGGGGTAGGAGAGGAAGAGGGGAAGGAGATAAAAGAAGGAGAGAGGGGGATAGCTGAGAAATAGTAATATATGCTTTATCTAGAGAAGTATTAGATATTCTACCTTAGAAATTAGGCTTCTTGCTATCTATAACCACGGAGCGGGCTAATAGTGAGAGATCCACGATAACTACTACTACTAGTTGAATAAGGTCTTCTTCTTAGATAAGATTGCATATTAATTGATATTGAATAGCTTTATTCGACCAAGGGGCGGTCGAATTATAGGGGAGGGAGGTATATAGTAGGGAAATAGCCTACAAAGGGGGATCTCTAATTAGAGGATATCTTTCTAGTACATAGTCCTTACAGGATATAGCTTCAGATCTCCAATAGGGAGAAATATCAACTCTTACACTCTCCTTGCTCTATCTGCTTCTGCTTTCTATAGGGGAGGCTTCCTCCATTGTGGTGTGTGGTGGTTTGTATGCTGGTTTGTTGAGGCTATATCATCCTGCCTGCATTCTCAGGCTTGCCGCTGAGCGCCCTGGTTCAATATTTAATGAACCAGTTTGGTCAAAACTGATTCACATCAATATGTCCTGAGTAGAGGGATGGCGATATCGCTAAATTTAAACGCCTTATTATTTTTGCTGATCTATTTTGACAATTATATCCCGGCACACTGTTTTAGTTCACTTGATATATTGAGAAAGTGAGACCTACCGCATACTTAGATTTCACTCAAAGTACACATTGTCCATTCCACACACCAGCAGACCCAAGCCTAGATCATTATTTTCGCTTCCCATAAAATTATTTCATTTCTCATCACATACATTATAAACCCTCAAGCATGTTTTCGAGTAGATCCAAAAATCTCTCTTCGCATCACTCCGAAATCAAATGTAAAAAATGGGTTATGCGCCCAACTAGCATTTCATAAACATCATCAAGCAACTACCCTGGTAAGTTTCCGAGCGCCCCAGACAGAAAACCAGCACCCAGCCATCACAGCGCCTACAAAGTTGGTGACTTGAAAGCCACTGGAAGCAGAATAAACTATGTTATGTCCGAAATCAATCTTGGGAACGTCACTCATCGCTCATCACACATATCCGGCGGCTCAGACTGAAAGCCTGTCAATGAATTAGTAAGGAATAAAGTCGAATCTCATCCGATCTATGGTCAAGTTAGCAGGTTGTCAAGACAAAGACCGAATGCGAGAAATACCAAGAAAATGGCTCCAATCCTCATCTTTGCTCAGCTGATTCGCCCAATATTGCTCAAGAAATTTCAAAGACTGTAGCACATTTGGCACCCGGATAGTATCATGTAACGATGCCAGTAATTGTCGAACAGTATCACGATCCTCTCCACATGCTTCACAGCCAGCAATGAACAGTGGAGTTGTGAGCATAACCCATGGGCTTAATCCAGCCGATGGTCCAATCTGAGCCGTACACTCTAGGATTCTCTGCACAGATTTTTGTACATAAGCAGATGCTGTCGGTGTCTTACGCAGTCGCTTATGGATCTGAATGAGAGCACTGTGCTGGAAAGCTTCATTGCAGAGTGCAAGGTTCTGGACACTTTCCGCAGACAGACCTTCTGCAACGCCGGGATAGAATGATGGCTGGGAGCTTGCACCTCGATCCATGAGTTCTCGTATAGATGACTCAAGGGCAGCAGCCTCATCTTCCGCGTTAGTATCAATCTCCCCTGCAACGAAGCCTAGACCATCTTTCTCTGCCTGGTGGGCGCGCCAAGCTGCAGCACCGATTTGTCGAAAGACAGCGGCGAGGTCAACGGTGAAGCCCCAATAATCATCTAGATAATCCGGTGATCTTCTTTGACCTCCCAAGTCCGATGGCGCGAAGTCCGAGATATCGCCGATGGGAGGACCATTCCCCGTCAGCGCTGTAAGGGACACAATTGACCAGTACCAACGATCCAGATATCGACGGAAGCCATTCCCAGTTTGCAGTGACTCATCTCCGACCACGTCTGAAGTCTTCATCAATGCCCTTGCGCCCTCAATATGTGCTCGCCAGGAGTTGGGATGGATCGCTCCCGAGTGAATCTCTGCCAAGCAGAGCGTTCGGGCAGTAGCCACCAACGCCTCCGAGTGCTTGGACGACGGATGCTGAAGCTCCTTTCGAAAATGCTCCAGACTTTGCGCCATCAGTCTGGCAATGTCTGGTGCAGTCTTAACACTCTCGGATTGGTTATGCAGGGCTTGAATGTGAATTGCGGAGAGGGCAGTGGTGGCGTAAAGGAGAGATGGGGTCTGGAGAGCCATAGGCACTATCATTCGACAGATATCCTGTTGCATGCCAGAGTGGGAGGCTGTGATTTGTGATGCATCGTTTATGAAGTGATGTAGAAGCGCTTTTTGATCGGGCGAGAGGGATGAGAAAGGATCGACGGGTTGTGTCAAGGCCATATCAGAGCCGGCCTGTGCGGACTTGGTGGTGTAGATGAATTCTCCAGGTGAGTATTCTAGGTATTATTAGCTAGGCCGATGTCTCCCGAGATCCTCTGAAGGGCCATACCGAGTCTCTGCATGTTTCCAGTGCCAACACAGGCACCAAATCGCGATCGCGAAAAGGCCCGCCCACCCCACTGCAGCTGCATCGCATACTTGCATTGCGCGCCCGCGGACTGGCAGCGCCCGCACATTGGTCGTTGCTCGTCACATTTTTGACGCCGCGCTTTACATCTTGTGCAGCCAGTAAACGATCTCGACATGGGTGCTGGGGCTCGGGGGAAGTGCGGAGTGAGTATTGCGGGAAAAGAAGAAATTGTGCGGGGAACTTCAACACCTCCGATCCCGCGCGTGGCAAATTCGATTAGGCTTCCGGGGAAGGACCGCCGAACTTTTGGACCTGCAAATTTTGGTAGAAAAGAAGATGCTGTAGAGGAAGCATACAGTATAGCGCTGACTATGGCTGCATTTCGAAAGGCCTTTTTACCTGGAGCTTAGACGTGTTAGGCGTGCAATCTAGCGGCGAATCCTCAAAACGGCTCCACCGATCGGCGGCTTGAACAGTGCAGAAGAGCGCCTGGTATATTTTCTTGTGGACTTCAACGAGATGCTGCTCAAGGGAAGAGCTCTCCCGAGATCATAAACAGAAATGTGCGCGCTATGGCAAAACTACACAGTACATGCTGGCAAAAAATATGTTCATCCCAAGCGGAAAGAAATCTCAAAAATCCCTAATAGATAAAAAAGAATAAAAGGCCATCACAATCCCTCCCTTCAGCCATCAAAAGTGTATCGAAGCCACTCGCCCACGGCTCGCAGGCTTTCCCATCGTACCGATTCGTCCTTGTCAGCCATCAACTCCATGACTCGCGTCTTCAGACCAATGCGCTCGAGTTGAGTGCGTCGCTCGGGAATTTCTTTGACTAAATGCCCCACATCATTGCAAGCAATAGCCAAAACTTGTTTGTCATTATCCCAGTTCTTAGACAAGATCTCGGCAAGCTTTTTGGGCAGGGCGCCATTTGCCTCGTCCAAGATTCGGCGGGCGTTCTCCTTCCAGAAGGTCGGGTTCTTGTGCGGGGGCGACCAGCGGAGGTGACCCGACTGAACTTCGGTGGCGTACTCGTCGAAAGTGGTTTGGGTCTTGGTATACTCATCCAACATGGTAGTCAAGGCACTCAAGTCTTCGAGGAGGTCTGGGTCGGTCAGGTGGCGGCCCGCAAGGTTGGTCAGAAGCGCAGGCAAACGGACAAATATAGCAACAGGGAGGAGGGTCGTTCGGTTATTGAAGAGCAGATTATACAAAGTTGCGAGAAGAAGACGGGTCGTCTTCTCCTTTGGTGAAAGCCGCAGAAGCTGAGTATAGAGTTGAATAATCTCGTAGTTCCTGGTAAGAGTCAATCAGCACGCCGTCCGAATATCAATGAAAGCCCGTTCGCCAGGTTCCCTGGCGAACACTTACTCTTGAAGCTCTTCGCCAACCAGTTCGCTCTCAAATGTCAGCTGCCACACTACTAACAGGACCCGGTAGAGGAGCTGAAGACCGACGCCTCCTGCAAGGCCGGGCTCGATGCCACGTGCGTTACTTCCCGATGCACTACCATTTTCCTTGGTTCCAGCAGCTGCACGGAAGAGTTTCGATCAATGGGTCTAAAGTCTCCTTACGGTGATTCCAAAAGATCTCACGGGAGTGCTTCTTCCGAAGTAGCTCCGAGAACCCCTGGACACCAATATCCTGGAGGCCACTGTCGTTGTTCTTGGCGAGAGTAGAGAGATATGTGTACAGCTGCGGAAGAGCCTGCTGATCCCGGGGCGCAGGCTTAGATGATTTGACAAGACTGTGCGACACAAGAGCCGTTAGGAAGGTAGATGTGAGCAGCGGGATGGGGTCTTCGGTGTTGGTTGAGTGGTGCAAGAATGGCAGGAAAGGCTTGTATGGCTCGGGGTGCAAGACGAGTGAGCCCGCCAGCGAGGGAACATCTTGAGAGCAAGAAAGGTTAGGATAGGCAATCAAAAGCTTCCCCGGATGAGTTCTTTACCTTGAATCAAGTCCGACGCCAGCACCAAGATGTATTGCACAATATCTGTCCTTCGAGACGCCAACTCCAAGACGCTTTTACCCTGTGGGCCTCCAGCAAGCAGACCGGTATAACCAACCAAATCCGCCTCTATTGTCTGAATCCGCTGCTCCTTGCGCACCTTGTCGACCGCCTTGATCTTCTTGAGCTGGTCATCGGTGATGTTGCCCGCGCGGACAGCGCCCTCCCATGGAATTGGCCGAGCGCGGATGTTGTTCTGCAGGGAGCTGAGATAAGTGGGCGGCTCTAGCGACATGATAATAGAATGGTACCCCAGACCAGGGAAACGGAATGCGGGTCGTGGTACTGGGGTGAAGGGTCACAGTGGTGAGAAGGAGAGGAGCTTGGGAGGGATGACGGAAGCTCCGCCAAGACCGCATGTCGTCCATCACAACAGATCTTGGCTCACGGTTTCACGGAACATTTTACTCGCCTTTCTCTCTTTGCCGCTTCTCTTCAGCACATTTCTCGGTCTACGCAAGACATTATTCCCCTTTGTGGGTTTTGTCTCCTCTATTCTCTCTGATTAGTACTGCCTGTGTGGCATCCAGCTTGCAACGTGGCTGCTGCCTTGTACGTGTACGCGGGCGTGAAATTCCGCTGCCAGTCCCTCGTTTCCAGCCTCGGGTGTGTCGCTTCCATTTGAGCAAATTGAACTCTGGTGTGCTTTCTTATACATTTCCGCTTCGAACCATTCCTCACCAGTACTCGGCTACTTGAACGCAGAATACACCGACCCCATGCAAACTGAACACAAGGCTTGTGCTGCCTAGTCGCGAAATCGCCTCCTTATTACACATCTTCCGCCATGGCGCAAAATCAACAGCCCTCCAAGGCTAAATGGGGCATGGGTAGTTTCTTTCAGCAAGCAGTTGCGGGCGTGGAATCGCGGCTTGACACCATCTTGATGGACCAGGAGGAAGCTCAAAAGAACACCCAAGCGAAATCCCATGAGAAAGAAAAGAGCGGGTCGCCCCTCCCACAATCTCCAGCTGGCTGTAGGGAATCACACCAAGCTTCTGATTCTGCGGGACCCTGCTAACATGCAGCATAGCGATATCGCGGAGCTCTTCGAGCGCACGCAGAAACGATCGTCTACAGGAGCGCCTAGCGCGTGCCGTCGTGAAGTCCAACACTGCGAATCGTAACTCGGAGTCGTCTCCGAGTCGAATCTCCTCGCCACCAGCCAGCCCAGCCCCAAGCAACGAGACACGATCGAGCATGGACGTCGATGCTAGTCTTGCATCTAGGACAGCTATCGCGGACAAGAACCAAAACCCTCCGTCCCATGGACGCAATACCACGTCGGAAGCAAGCGCGCCGCGGGGAAGCTATGAATCCGGGACATCTGTACGCAAATCTACCGAGATTAGCGTTACAGAGTCAATTCCCAGAGCTTCAATCGATACTGGCGAGCGGTCTTCTAATATCGAAAATTCAAGCCAAGGCCTCACCTTCTCGCAGCGAGCTAATGATCTCAGCACTCGGGCATCGGGTGAAAGCACACGACTTAGCGTGGATTTGCCGTCTGAACTACAAGCGAATGATGAAAACGCGGCCGATTCGCAATGGCAACAAGAGAAATATGAATACTTGGAACGGATTGACACACTTCAGAGAGATCTCAAAAGCTTGGCTGAAGAAGCTGCCAAGTCGGCCAAGGAGGCTGCTGCTGCCGCGTCGCCTGGGAGTCACAAGAGGGAATTGGAAGAAACGAGGGGGAAATATGCAATGTTGATGAAAGAAGGAGAGAGACTTCAATCAGATGCCGGGAACTTTCGCACTGTGGTCAGGAGGCTTCGGCAGCAACTCAATGACAACACGAAATCCCAATTGGAAGTGAAGAAACGGACCGAGAAGTTGGAAAGAGACTTGGTGAGCTCAGAGGCCAGAGCAAAACGGGCCGAGTCTGCCGAGAAACGCGCAAACGAATTACTTTCATCCCATACCAAAACAGCCAAAGACCTTGAAGCGGTCACACATGAGCACGATGCCCTGACCCAAACTGTTCAAGAAATGAAGGCACAGATCAGCCGAGCCGTGGCCCGAGCCGAAGTTGCCGAAGCCAAAGCTCAGTCGGATACCCTTGAAAAGGAACGACGGAGAACTGCTGATCTGGAGGAGGAGCTGTCCAGCGTGAAGCTTGAACGCGACATCAATGAAGAAAAGTCCAGGAAAGAAGTCCAGGAACTGAAGGAAAAGATCAATCAGGAGAAAGAGAGGGCCCGCATGCTTGAAACAGAGTTGAAAGGAGAACAATTGGCTTTAGAAAGCAAGATGGAGAGCCTACGAGCTCGTGCAGAGGAGGCCTCGTCTGGAGCAACTGGAGAAACTCAAGCTAAACTTCTACGGCAAATTGAGACCCTACAAACGCAGTACTCGGTCGCAAGCGAAAATTGGCATGCCCTGGAAGGCTCCTATATTTCTCGGTTGGATGCCGCGGAGAAAGAGCGAGATCAGGCAGGGGACAGAGAGAGGGAGCTTCGAAAGAAGCTTCGCGAATCGGTAAAACGCCATCAAAATTCCAGTATACAGCGATTATTTTACCTGACTAGATTTCTTTATAGACACTGAAGGCCAAGGAGCTTGAAGAAGAAGTGGAAAATACCAAGGAAGCTGAGCAGGACCTCGAGGCCAAGCTCGAAGAGCGCATGCAGGAGTTGCAGAAGGTACAACAAAGGCTTCAAAAAGTGACGGAAGATGTGACAAGGGCTCAGAAAGATCTTATGGAGCAAAAGAGGACCAACGATGCGGCATGGGCTCAGAAGCTAGAGGAAGAACGTGCGAGGTGGCGAGAGCAAGTGAACAACTTGCAACATCCTCGTGGAGTATCCCCTGTCCCATCTACTCGGCGCTCAAGCAACCGAGATGTTGTCCCTTCTGGCTTATTCGACTATCGGCCTTCCAGCCGACGCTCATCTACTATTCCTTCCGCCTCGCCTGATATCGGCACGCCACCGCGCCAAAACTCCTACCCAGCTTCAGTCACACACGGGACCCTCTCACCCCCTCCCATTAACACAACTATGACTCCATCCATGATCATGGAGACGCCTTCAATTACGTTCGAACCCGAAGATTTCTTTGATGCTACTGATCCTGCCACCCCGTCTGCTTATGGTGGTACACAGGCGCCCCCGTCTCGTGGCATCAACGATATCATCTCCGAGTCGACAGTCGGGGCGGGGCCGTCTGTGCAACTGGTTGAGCGTATGAGTGCCACTGTCCGTCGACTAGAAAGCGAGCGTGCTGGCTCCAAGGATGAACTTGCGCGTGTTACATCTCAACGCGATGAGGCCAGGCAGCAAGTGGTTGACCTCATGCGCGAACTAGAGGAGAGAAAGCTCTCTGACTCCCTCGTGCAAGAGCTCGAGGCCAAGCTGGCTGACCTAGATCAACGATATCAAACCACTCTCGAGATGCTCGGCGAGAAGAGTGAACAAGTTGAAGAACTACAGGCCGATATCGCCGACTTGAAGAAGATCTACCGTGAATTGGTTGATAGCACGATGAAATGAGTAAATAGATCGGACTTTTGTTCCCTGTATATATGGCACTTTTCTTCATTACTAGGATATTGGCTAGACAGACTCCCCATGAATAATACATTGAATTCAAGAAGCGATTCACTCCTGAGACGCGACAAGCAATTCTTGGAGTGCGAATTAGGCGGCTGCCGGAGATAACATTTAACTCCGCCACTCGCCAAGTCCCCCAATCCCCAACATCAGCGACACCGCCAAACTTCAACGGGCACGCGCATGGATGCTTAAGCAATACATACACCTGAAATGGTTTTTCCAAGCCCAGCTTGCTCTACCTGCAAGCTTCGTCGGATCAAGGTATATCTTCATACGCTTCATAGGGGCACGGAACCTCTAAGACTTACCATATTTAGTGCGACTTGTCCAGACCCGATTGTGGACGATGCGTCAAGGCAGGCCGGAATTGTCTCTGGGGATCAAATGACAAAGCAAAATTACTCTTCAAGAATGAGAATGACTTTGCACACGGCCAACAAAGAAGGCCGCGCAAACGTCTGATCGAAGAAATTCCAATCCAGAACCAATCTGTAACTTTGCCATCACATCTTTGGCCTTCACTAGAAGCCCGGGCTTTCAATTATTGGCTTGCGAACTTTACAGGGTGGCCTGGCGATTTACGTGACGTGGAACATGAGTATGGATCCCTCGCATTGCAGTACTTGGGGTCTACTTCATCAAGCTCGGCTCTTCATTTATCGCTGTCCGCCTTTTCGCTCGCTATCTTTGGAAGGGCGATGATGTCTGATGGAGCACTCGACGCTGCGCGTGAGTTCTATGCGCGCAGCATTAGATCGATGCGAAGTGAACTCCAAGAACTTTCCAGTCAGATGCTTGATCAGCTCCTTGTTGTCACAACTTTGTTGGCCACTTACGATGTAAGGTCCAAGAATGAGCTGTCACTATATGGGCGCTAACCTTGTTCAAGAACATTATGTATCCAACCCACGGACAATACAACCATTGTTTGCTCCGTCCCTCGAACCCTGAGCCCAAAGGTTGTCAATCTACGCCTAACATTGGTCACAGTAGAGGAGCTGCTGGTCTATTACAGGTGCGGCGAAGACAGGGTTGGAAACAGAATTCTGTTTTGGAAAGTGTGATTAGGCGAACAATTGTGAAGGCCCTGTACACTTGTTCAAATGGCTCGATATTGACGTACATTACAGGTTCGTTCATGTATACTACAAGGCGTGATGGTCCCTGAATGGCTTGAGGAGGGAAAACTACTCAATGAAAATGAGCCAATGCTGGTACTTGACTCTTTATTTGTTCGTGTTTCCAATCTGCGATCCGAAATCGTGAGATTCCTTCAAGTGGGAGACAGTACTTCATGGTTTCAACGCGAATTGGAGAGTCTCTTGTGCAAAGCGAAGGACCTTGATCGGAGTTTGGCAATGTGGGTAGGCGCCATTCCCGACAGCTGGGGGTTCTCAGTCGTGCGCTCTCTCAGCGATGATGCTAGCCATCACTTTGGAGGCTTCACCCATACTTATTCATCGCATTACCATGCAGCAGCCTGGAATCGATATCGGGCCACGCGCCTGATAGTTGGCAGCCTACAAATGCGCCTTCTACTGATGCTGGCTAGGTTTCCCTTTGTCGAGATGCTCATCAATCTCGACATTACGGCACACCAATCTGCTTTTCTTTCAGTCGCCACGGAGCTGTGCCAAGGGATCTCATTTTTTTTTTAATGCTCACATCGACCCTTTCTTGGAAAGCCACTCACCCAGCATTGAGGTCAGTATTTCACCCATGACAGCGACCCTAGTGGCCTGGCCTTTATCCGTTGCTGTCAGTGCTGGATCCGACCACTACACTCGGTCGGATCAAATATTATGGCTATGTAGCAGACTTGACAGCGTCTCCAGGGCTTTGGGGGCTAATCTCCTTGTTTCAAATGTTGATCATGGAAGTCGGAAGGATTTAATGTCAATTCGTATGCAAAAAGAATAGCCTCCATAAGGCTATTCCGGTGATGGCTCAGATGTCCTCTGGGTTTCCTGGGTCAGATGAATAAATGAATAAATGGGGAGGGGAAGCGATTCCCCACCCCAAATCCATGCCTGATTCTAGCCAAGCTTGGCAATGCGAGGCAACCCCAAAGCCGGTCCATATTGTCGTATTCGAACTTATTACCGAATCATGCTCGTGGACAATATTGCGCTTCCTGGGGTATTCGTCTGCGACCAGAGGTTGCAAAAAGCCAAGGAAGAGCGGGGACACGAAGAGAAGGGTTAACGCCACCATTTAACACAGCCTTCCTCGCGTCACACGTGGTAGCAGAGGGCTCGTATCATTTTGGATCACCAGAAAGGATTAGAAAAACTCAGCCACGCGAATCGCTGGGCGGCACAACCAAGTTCATTAGCGATATAAGACGACCAGAGGCCCCCACATCGAGTAGCAACTTAGAAACCCTTTTCCCCAACCAAAAAAAAAAGATCTGCAAGACCCTAAACCCACCATGTTGGAGTACACAGCAAAGCTACCAACCTCATCGACTCGATACAATATATCGGGTGGAAATTGGAATAGTGAATACCAAGTCACCTCCGATGGTGCCGTCATCTACCACGTGAAAAATTCTAGTCCCAGCCAAGATAAACCCGACCTCACTTTCTATTCCGGAGCGAGTACCGACGGTTCGGTCGCGGGGTCAGGCAAATTCGTTCGTTTCTCGTCGAATATCCAACTCAGTCTCGCCGATCCCAGTCAACCCAGTACGACCACGTCGGTCTGCCTGAACAAGAAAGGCATCATATCCACTCGCTATACCCTTCAGATGACGATTGAAGGCCAGGCGAGAAGTCTCGCTTGGAAAAACACGGAAATGAATGATAGCTTTGGCCCTAGCGCGAGTCATAAGCTGGTCGACGAAGCAAACGAAGTCCTCGCAGTCTTCTCGCCGGGCGGTGGCCGTGTCCAAAAAGATGGGGTTTTGGAAGTCTTTGTGGACTATGGCACGCAATTTGACCTGATGGCTCTCATCGGGGCCCTGGCTTTGCGCGAGAAGTCAAGGAAGACGAATTTTGGCCCCATCGATGTCGCCAGTTCTCCGGCCAGCACGACGGGTTACTGAAGTGGAGACGCCGAGTCGCCAGATATAGTATTCTCGTATTGGGCTTGAGAAGGAATGTATGATATTCAGCCTTTATTTCAATTAGAACCGGTTGTTCAGCCTCCAATAAGACTCGAACACCGGAGTCGTATCACAGATTGGCTGCTCAAAATATGTTACAAAATACAGTCTCAATCACTCAGAATATACTCATGACGGCTCGGTGGGAGGTTTTTGGTGTCAGCACATTCCGGTCGGTGTTCCTGGGGGCAAATGCCTTTTTGTTTGTTTTATGAGCGGCCCTGACTTGAGCTTTGACGGGGGGGTCTTGGTCATGGTCCACGAAGCCCCTTGAACACACGTCAGGTTTTCGCCAGTTTTGACAGGTAAATCTATTCTTGGCCTTTTTCTTTCACCTCTTGGATAGCACGCCTGCCTCTGTTCCAGTGCTTTCTATCTTTTCCCGTTTCTCTCTTATCCGGGATGCTTCCGATTTCGGTTTTTCTAGCCATGCTCGCCAGTCAAGTGAGTGACTGGAATGTCGATCTGAACTGTCAATATTCGCCGTCAAATAAATCCTCAAGTTTCATTCTCCACGGGTTTAAGGTTTACTGGTTCTTTTGGTCTCAATACTTTCGGTGCAGATTGCTCGATGCAGCGCGGATTGGATCACATCTTTGAGGTTTCCCTTGACAAGAATTACCTGAGCGACCTTGATCGAAAGCCATTCGGTTATGTGAAGGAGGCAATGAGAGTGACTCAATCCACTGGACATGAATGGACTGTGGGGGCCAACCGGAGGACAATGGGGATCCCGCGGCAGAGGACAATACATTCGGCTTCTGGCTTGCCATGGGCAAGGCCTTGATCCCCCGAAAAGACCAATCACCAGCTGAAAGCCCATTTTGAGGAATTTTATGTAATGGAAAGGGTTCATCACGAATTTGAGGATCTCTTCATCCTTTATCCTTACCCAACTTAAATTCTACTGAAGTTATTTCTGCCGACATCGTATATCAACCAAATGAATTTGGCCTCCAGACTGTCGCTCTACAACACTATGATACCTGTCTTTCCAGCTTCTATGAACCTTTTGATGATTTGATGAATCACGTGAAAAGCAGTTCTAGTGATCTAAATGCAGCGATCCAAATAGTTGTGACATACATTCAAGGAAACCATAAGCTCAAATCTAGATTCCCTAATTCTGGGCACGTAATTATTCCCTCACTCAATTGACTCATGGAGTAGACATGGAGCTTTTCTGCTGCAAACCTCGACTCTGTTGGATCTTTCTGCACGGAATACTGAAAATGTGGGCAGCCTTTTCCTCGTATGGCATTCAGCAAGAAAGGGATTATCTCTCAAGACACATCTGACATTCTACTCCATTTATATAGCATTTCCTTATAATCATTAGCTCTGCCTATACATCCAGTTAGGCTCATATTATGCACGTCGCTTTAGTTACCAAATTCAGTTAGTCAAGGTTAAGTACCACTAAGACTGGAAGGGGCCGTTCGGGGGGGGCCGGCCCCCAATGACCACAACGAGCCCTTATTTAAATAGAAACAATGAAGCTTGTTTTGTTCTATTCATATGGTACCGATACCTACTCTTGTCATGACTTCCAATAAGCCCGTCTTTGTTCTCGTCCCCGGGGCATCTCAGAACCCAGCTCATTATGCCTACCTGCTTCATCTCCTACAGTCAGCGGGTTATGGTGCATTGAGTGCTCTGCTCCCCAGTGTCGGAGCCCAGGATGCAGTGACAGCTTCCGATGATGCTGAGTACATTCGGTCCAGAATGCTGCTTCCACTTCTCGAAATCGGCCAGCAGAACATAATTCTCATCAGCCACTCATATAGCGGGATGCCTGCCAGCGCTGCGGCTCGAGGCCTTGGGAGGTCCGATCGGACCACCGAGGGTAAGAACACTGCTGTGCTTGGCCAGATCTTCATTGCCTCTATCCTTCCTCATGGTGGGGACGGAATGAGCGTGATCGATTCATTTGGAGGACAACTACCGCCACACATGTGGGCCGATGTACGATGGTCCCAGAACCCCCTTTGCATTCTTTCGAGTCTAATACCCACTTTATAGGAAACGGAGAATCTGCTTCGTTGCGATGATCCCAAGCCTCCTTTATTCCAGGATGTGGATCCCACTCTTGCTGATGCCAGTTGCAAGACAGCCATCGGTCAAGGTTTGACTTCGTTTCGGAGTCCCTGCCCTCTGACTAGCTGGGACACCGATGCCTTCCGAGATCGTATCGCATATATTCACACGGTCAATGACCGGGCCATTCCCTATGAAGCGCAATTCGCAATGCTGCAAGCCACGGGGCAAAAATGGATCACCAGAGAGATCCAAAGTGGTCATAGTGCACAATTGTCAGCCACTGAAGAGTTATGCAAGACTATTCTTGACATAGTTAAGCAGTGGTAGAAACTATACTCACTTATAGTTACCTTTCATAAACTATCAAATAATAGTGAAAAAATTATGACTATATTCTGAGGGCCTACGAAATTGACACTGAAAATGACCGCTTTCTACGCCAGAAACGGCTGCCTTTTCACAACGTAACTATTGAACCAGGCTGCTCCGCAACTCTGGCTAGCAGACAGGATAAAACGCATTAAAAAAAGAGTCAGCAAGCCACCAAACCCCATGATAGATGCCGATCTCCCAAAGAAGAAACAGATACTGTCTGAGCGGAAAATTGTAGAAGTTATAGTTTTCTTTATTTGAGATGTGAAGTTATATCGGTAAAGAATGTGGACCATGAAAATTGGCATCTAATCAGAAACAATCTATCGTTGGCTATTCCCAACTACACTATCCAATCCCCGATTGGTAATGTTCTACTCAGGCTAATAATTCTTAAGAGCCAGTTGAGAGCTGAGTTTACCTTCTTGGGTTGGATGTACCGTCTTGTTCACATGGCAAATCATCAATTTGGACTGTGGACTAGAGAAGTATCATATCGTTGTTCTCAATAATGATATGGGGTTATAGACAGAACATGCCCTATTTTCATAGGATTGGCATCTTGACTATCTGTATTGCTGGTATAGAGTGTTAAATATCCCTTGCCTCGCTTACTAGTGTGTTATGACGCTGGGTTTCGAGGAAGTAGCGCTAAGTCAGACACCCCTAGCGAAATTACCATTTGTAAAAAGAGGATACCCGACGGCCTTATCTAGAACTTGCTCGCCAAGCAGTATATAAAAAGGCAAATTCTTTGATGCAATGAAAATTGATATTGCCATTTTAGACCATACAACACTCAGAATAAGCTTCAATCGCACTCTGCAATCAACAGGACCTCTGTCCTTATCATCCAATAAACAACAATCCGGTCAATGGTGGATTAAGTACAGGTCCTGATGGATAAGAAAAACGTCAACAATGTTACTCGACACACAAGAATACCGAAGCACATACAATCATTCTGACTCATCCTGAGCCTATCACTACTGGGCTCATTCTTGTATTTCGTTGAGATAGAGTCGATCTCTGAGATATTGCCTCGCCCTGAAGCAGGTTGTGGTGCTCGCCCATCGGTAGCGCAGGGTACTCCTTCCTTCTTCTCTCGTCTCTTCTTCAGGAGATAAGGAATCAAAAAGAGACACATTGTGATTCGTCTTCAGTGTATCGTGAGGGTATTTGCAGCTTCTGGCTTGATGAGATGATAGACCACTATATAAAAGGCGAGGCCAGGAGTATATCAGATTGAGAACAGAAAATTTAAACAGTCGAAATTATTGAGGGATTGCTGGTTCCAAAATTTCTGTCTTTCATTAGAGTCGAGCTATTTTTCTGGGTTACTCCAGGCTTTTATTGTTTTCTAGAGCAAAAGTCAGCTCTATGTTTGGAACATCGTTTCCTCTCTGCGCGAGGCTGAGCAGAATATCCACGTATGACTCTAATGAGACTGATGAGAGAGCGCTAATAAAAAGGCTAAGCCTTTTCGGGCAATCTCTTCATAGTATATTCTGCCGAGAAGAAGCCACATAATAAAATGAGGACACATACTCCACTGTGTGTCCAAACATTACCAGGGTACTCTAAGGGGTGTCGGATTTGGCTGTATCCTAAACTAAACCTTTCACGTACCAAAACTGAAGATCCTCCCCAGGCTGCGGTCTGAAATTCTGAGGGTCTGGTCTTTAGTATCCTATCAGTGGCTATAATAGTTATGCTTGATTTCTTGACTGCAGAATACATTAATCATGATGATGCGTGTATCTTGTAAAGGTCTCCCAGCCACACAGCCTTGATCGTAGCTAAGGAGCTCCCGCAAATAGAAGTATGCCTTGGGCTTTAGGATGAAACGATGGAAACGCTATAGTGTGCCAATTTGCCAACTTCTCAAGGCAAGCGGGATTTTTGATCTAGGACAAAGGTGGGGGCTGGTTTATCACAGTCGGTTGTTTTGATGCCCCCGGGGACATCTTTGGAATTTGCATACTGCTGGACGCCCAGCACGGCACAGACAACAACCAGAACTGTGAGTCAGTAAACGGATGAGCATCTGGTTCACAAAGGCTGGACTCTCAAAAGAGTAACCATATCGACCATGGTAGTGGAGAGCACTTCGAATGTAAACTCTATTATGGAGTTTGGTGATCAGACCGCGCTCTGTTCGAATTAGATTACTGCCTCGACGGGTCTTCGCTTTTTTTTTGAAGTATATGAATAAATGAAATAAAAAATATTTTTACACGTTGCAACCAAACAAAATCGCAAATAGTGCCGAGTTTAAGCCGCCAACTAAGAAGAAGGATAGGCGCTCAGCAACATTCGCCTCCACCAATCCCGTTCCCTGTACTCGAGCTGGTTACCATATTGGGTTTAGTTCATCAACAGGCATATTCACAGCCCCTTCATGTTTGTTGCCCCATATGTCGGTGGGTCTAAAATGCTGATTTCAATAGACTCTACGATCAGTAAAATAATTATTTAAGTTGGCCGAAATCTGCTCATACAAAATAATCAGTCAACCCATATCGAAACACGCTTTATTCGCAAGGAAGAAGAGGAAACTAAGGAGAAACTTGACTAGACATCAAAATGGTCGACGCGCTCTCTACAGCCAAGCTTGTGATTTATATTTTTCTCTCCATCCCAGCTTCTTATATCAATCTTAAACATGGGAGACGCGGGTTTTTGGGCTGGTTCTATGTCCAGCTCTTTTGCGCTCTCCGCCTTGTTACCGATGTATTGACAATTAAGCCCGGTCTTGCGAGCACAGAAACCACAATGATTCTGAGTAGCGTCGGTTTGGCGCCGCTGCTCTTTGCATGTGCAGGAATTCTCCATGAAGCGTGAGTACCACAAGTTGCTAGCGACTAACACAGAGGCTAACAATGCGTCTTGTTTAGGAGACTTGCTCGTGATCCAACGATTAACGGCAAAAAGGAGTGGATGTATCAAATTTATTACCATATCCTTGTCCTTGGTGCCACTATTCTGAACGTCGTCGGTGTTGTTGAGCTCATGGAAAAGGGCCCCAACTCAGTCTCTGGCACCCTTACCAAGGTCGGCGCTACTCTCGCTGTCCTAGGCTGGGTCGTTCTCGTAGGCTTTTCCTTGTTCTCGCTTCGATACAACGTTATCAAGAAGACTTCAACCTATCGTAATGGGACACTGGTAAGTCTCTCTCATTTTTGCTCATCAATCCAGGCACTATTAACAAGATTCATAGCTACTGTACGGCGTGATAGCTACCCTCCCTTTCAACGGTATTCGCCTTGTATACTCTGTCATCTCCATCATACTCAGAGTCGAACATCCTCATTCTGAATTTTTGAGCTCAACAGCAGTTGAAGTCTGCATTAGCGTTGTTCCGGAGATGCTCGTTGTCATAATTCTCATCATGGCGGGTCTTAAGACAAGGGAACTTAACCAACTCTTCAAGACCATGAACTTCTAATATGGCATAGCTATCTCAGATCAGATACTCTGATTGTTTTATTTCCAAGGGCGTCTAGCTTATATGTTTTCACTCCCACCTAAGCAACATATCCTTAATGTATTTGCATAAGTCTATTAACCGCATAGAAACGATTAAGCACTTTAACAAAGCACCACTTCTCCCATATGTTGTGATAGATGTAACTCAATGACTCGACTATTGTTTTGATTTATTTTTTTATTTAACGAATCTATCAGGCAGATCCTCCAATACTGAACTCAAAGTGGACGCTAGCAGCACAAAGATAGTAGCAGGCAGCGAAACTCAATGTAAATTTCATCAAATATTCAAGACAGAGCCCGTACAAAGAAGGAATGTACCTTAGTTTAAGCATGTTTCTTACAATCCGATACTTCTTAACAATCATTTTCGCCTATGTTAGTGCCTGGCAAATTGCTATGGCCATCGAACATAACCTTGATTATCCAATGTTCTCATGTCAACCTAATGGTTTCCTGTCACCAAGAACGAAAGGTATCATTGAAAATAGATTTCAATGCACCCTGCACATTTACAGTCATATAGCATCTTCTGAAAAGGTGCCGGTGTCAGCTGAACTCAAACAAAATGGTGATGACTCACTGAGTCTGCTACTGAGTCTGCTAAGGAATAGAGTTCCCTTCAAGAATAAACTTGTGCTAATGACATCCACTGCCATAAATTTACTCTGACGTGGATTATCACAGGCAATCGATATTGAGTTGACAACATTTCTGACGGACGCTTCGTATTGCTATCATAGCGTTTACACGAGGCGAAGCCGTCGCATACTTCCTTGGTCGATATTGACCTTGGTAGCTCGTTTGACAGCTTACTTTTTCCATTCATTCTACCGTAGCTTGTGGTTCAAGGGACAACTCCTAGGAGCTGGGCGGTTTTAGATGGTATAGTAGTAGTGTCATTCATTGTAATCTGGGACTAGCTCTGTCCTTTCCTCTTCTGGGCAATATTAATAAGTTCGGTCTTTTCTGGGGAAAAGAAGTACTTAATTCTCCGGTTCCAGACTCGATCTGATGTATATTTTCGGACTGGACTTTGGTCAAGTTGTCTTCGGCGTTCCAGCCGACGCGCCAGCAGAAGTAGTCATCGACACAGGCGGATACCTTACTGAGGAAACCGCTTCTTCGAAAAGTCCTCAATCAAACTGCTTTATCATTCCCGGCCGAAGAAATTCCGATTCCTCCGCGGGCTTCATATAACAAAAACAGCGTAATTTCGAACACTATTATTTTCATAGTATCTCATCATCTTGATCGTGTTCATCGTTCACTTTGTCATTTCTTTGTCTTAATGATTAGCAGATGAGCGAGTATTTGTTGTCTGGAAAAGAAACTTACAGTTGAAGCTTGTGGAAGTCGCTGCTTAATGGAGTCGTATTTCTCCCATGTGGTTTTGGGCTCCCCGAAATGGAAGAAGATCGAGATTCTATGAGTGACCATTAGCAGAGAAAATGCCGGGTATATGTCAGCAACAGTACCAGATCTAGATACGCGAGGCAATGCTAAGTGGTCTGCGTTGAAAGCTCTAAGCGTTCTCATTCCCTTTTCCAGCTTCTCCAGCCCCTGGTTCAGTCTCTCTCGTTCCTTTTGCTTGTGTGGAGATTCGGATGCGATTTCTTTGATCTGCTGGTCAGTCATACTATTGACTGTTTGGTTGGTAAATATTGTCAACAGAGGACGGAGCAAACAATTTTCGATTGCCAAAATCGAAATATTATCAATGTAACCCAAAATCGCAATCTGGTTGAGGAATTCATCAGTCAGTGACTCAAATGATAATATTTTTAATTGATTCCACACGGTAGCTTACCTCGTAGTACGCATGCATCTGAAGCAGAATGTCCATCGCAGAATAAACTTCACTGGAAAACTTCATATCATGCACCGCATTTTGGACTTCCTCCATTGTCATGGTCTTTTTATGCATATTCTCAGATTCCTTTTGTTCTGACCCTTTAAATGTTTGAGTTTGGTTAAAGTGATCTTTCAACCAACTCATTTGATACTCTCTTCGGAAATATAAGACTTGATTCAAGTAGGTCCTTCCGATAGGCAATGGGTGGCCTGTTTTCGTATAAGACGTTAACTCCTCAAGCTTTTTCCTCAGGGTTTCATTTATTTCGTCCAATTTTGGTATAATCACCGCCTCCCGGAGAGACAAGAAAGTGTCTTCGTCGGTGAGATGTTGAAATACCAAGAAAATGAAATTCTTGGCTGCCTTCCATGATGTAGTCAAATGGCATTCAGCGATACGTTCCCATGGTGAAGCTTGATTTCGAAAGACCTTTCCCACAAGCAGTGGGTTTGAACTACCCGGGACCTCTATACCTCGATTTGTTTTGACCAACCCTATTATCTCATGGATGATCTCTTGTTCGGTAGTTGGCTCTGGGCTCCAACAATCCAGATATGATTGATAGGTCGGGTTGTTGATGTCTGATTGGGGCTCAGGTATGGGAAGGATATCGACCCTCCGGCGTTGGCCATTTATGCTCATAGCATCCGCAAAGAACTCATTAAGCTCACGAATGACAGCACGGAGCCGGCGATAGTCTATGGTCTCAGCAGCAGCATCCGAGGTACTATGATCCTGTTCATCGAAGAATCTATCGGTATACAGACCATCCAAAGCTTGTCTCACAATTTGTGCAAATCCGCTACTAATATCCAAGAGAAAGCCTCGCTGACCCTGGATTGTTGACCTTTCTGTTCCAAGTTGTTTAAGCTCTTGTCGATGATGTTCAATCTTTTCGTGTATTTCAACAATTAGACTCGGGATACTATGCCGAATTTGATTGAGAAGTACGGTGCTCAGACGGTGGCGAAGACTCTCAATCCCAACCTGCCGACGCGGGAGTGATGCCCATCGTCCTTGATCAAAAAATTCTCTTTCCTTGCTATCTCTCTCATCATCTGAAGATTTCTTGGCGTTGTCTCCACGATTCCGTAAAACGTGCCAGCCCAATTTTAATTTGATGTCTTCATTCTTGACAAACCGTAGATATCGATCCTCCTCTTCAGATCTAGCCTCTAGGCGATCTGGCTGGGTGACAATAGCAAGAACTTTTTCCATTTTTGGATCAAATTTCTTTGCGATATTCAGTATCTCCTGATTGTTGAAATCATACCTTGCGCTGATAACTGCAAGGACAATACTTCTCTCGTTCTTCATGTACCTTTCCGTGATGTCGCGAACTACCTGGATTCCTTCGTCATCCTGATCCCGACTGGAACCAGTATATAACCCAGGAAGATCAACTAATGAGAGCTCTGGCTGATCAGGCCCAGATATCTCTACCTTGAGCACATCGTCGCTGAACCTTTCAGATTGGCTATCATCATGACCGATCCCCATACATTCCTTGGCCTGTTCGATCAATTTAGGGAGATCTTGGTCTTTCAAAAATGCTTCACAAGAAAAGCTTTGCAGTCTCTGTCGCTCTTTGTCATTTTCTCTCGAGTTTCCAGGCTCAATAGAAACCTTGAATTTTGTTTCTGGATTTCGTCGAAGAATCACCTCCGTGGCGAACCGTGTACAAACACCGCTCTTAGTTGGGAACCGGACTCTTGAAATAGCCTCAAGGACAGAGCTCTTTCCACTGGACTGACTGCCGCAAACAATGAGCTGAGGAAGTGCAACAAGACCTCCTACTCCGAGGTTACGCAGCTCATCGATTTTGTCCAAAACCTTTGCTTGCTGCGACTGCAATTGGTGCATGGCAGGATTTTCCTGGAGAAAAGACATGATGATAGTTGAAAATAATTCCGGTTAATATGGCGGTAAAATAATTTGGGAAATTGCTGAAATCTGTTGAAATTGGAGTAGGGAACTCTGGCTGACAAGGGAATATTTAAGTATCCAACGCATCGCCCCTGGGTGGATTGAATCCTTGTATAGTCTTGTCACTTTGCATTATTTAGTTTCTTCCAAAAATAGCAAAGCCACTCGCGTCTTTGGCCCCCATCTATGTATCTTGAACAATTCAAGGTGGAATCCTTCCCTCGAGAAAGTGCACCGATTCTAGGGGCAGGAAATATTTTGATCTCTTACCCGCCCTTCGCGCGAAAACGTTTCACTATATTAATAGACACTGGGCGATAGGACCAAAATTGCTTCTTGTGATGCATATTTGGAATAATTTGAGGCTATTCCGGGGTTGCTCAATACTTCATCCAATGATACAAATACCTACTTAGTCTACGACCCACATAACAGATCGGACCTCGCGATGAACCTTGTCGGCAAATTGGTGAACTGCATATGCCAAGATGCCGGTTGTTTCATACGGGGGAAACGCGTCAATTATCCCAGTCATTTTATGTACTGTGAACACGCTAATGTTACACTAACAATGAAAGGCGCTTAGCTTCAGACCCATCGAGAATAAATGCGCTTCAACAATGCTCTTGCACAGGGGTATGTCAGAGGATAAGGGGCCAAAAACGGATTTATTGGCACAGGTCTTTAGTTTTGATTAAAGCAGGATTCGTAGCCCGCAATACCACCCAAGCTTGATGTATGGTCAGTACCATTGCGCATCGTTCAAGGCATCTTTCCATATCTGCCCTATTCTACTGCTTGGCGATGTTTCGAGATTGAGAATGCCAAGAAGACGCTACAATATCGTTGTATGTATGTAATGCAATATTTATCACCGAGCTACGTAAATCTTCTATTGTCCATCATATATGTGTTCTGACATTTCTTCGTGTGGGATTGATCATGGGGTCAAAACTAATTTCAGGTGAGGGGTAATTGAGGCAGCTGAATTCGATTAAAAAATTAAAATGCGACTTCGGAATTGACAGATAATAAACTATTTGCAACTCTAATAGTGTCCAGCCACAGGCTTTGGTACATAAGGATCTTCTAGATAATTAATCTCCTCCTTTGTCAAAAACTTATCCCGTAGATCACAGAGGTCTTCAATTCTCTCGACCGAGGTACAACCAACAATAGGCACCGTCCCTTTGCTTTTTTGCCAAGCCAGAGCCACATGGCTCATTTTCCATCCTTTTTTCCCTGCCATATGCTCGACCCTACGAATAATTTCTTCGTCGGCTGGAGTGACCGTAGGATGATGTGGGGAGGGTCGCTTAGAACGCAATGAGGCATCGTGACCCAGGGGACGTGCCAATCTTCCTGCATAGAGAGGGGACCATGGAATGATACCCACACCAGTTTCTTTGCAAAAGCGGATCATTTCCCGCTCCTCCTCACGATAGCAAAGATTGTAGTAGTTTTGCATACTGACAAACTTGGTCCAGCCATTCTTCTCCGCGATGAATTGCATTTCTGCAAACTGTGTTGCCCACATTGAGCTTGCTCCAATGTAGCGCACTTTTCCCATTTGAACAAGGTCATGCAATGCTTTCATTGTTTCCTCTGGCGGAGTCAAAGGGTCATATCGCTGGATTTGCAGTAAATCAATATATGTAGTCCCCAAGCGTTCGAGAGAGCTCTCAACGGCGTTGAAAATGCCAATTCGAGTCAACCCTGCAGATTTTATCAGCCTTGGAGTCTTGTGTATCTTCAAATTTAAATTTCTCACTTACCTCCTTGATTCACGTAGTCCTTGCACTGGTTCATCTGCTCAACAAAGGCGGCCCCGAAGACATCGATCTCCTCCCCCACGTGGAAAGCACACTTTGTCATAATGACCAGCTTCTGGCGAGGAATTTCGAATTTTTTCATTGCTTTTCCAATAATTTCCTCGCTAAGGCCGTTTGAATAGACGTTCGAAGTATCCCAGGTATTGATCCCGCAATCATAGGCAGCCTTCAACACTTCAAGCGAGACCTCTTCGTTCAAAACCCACGGGGCAAATGCCTGAGGTTGTCCAAAGGACATAGCCCCCAGGACTGGCCATGATACTCGAAGGCCAGAAGCTCCCACTTGGGTATATTGAACCTTCGTAGAATCAAGGGACCTCTGAAGAGAGGTTGGAAGCGGAAGCCCAAACATTATCACTTAAATCGGTCGGCTGTTTGGATAAATTCAAGATGAGTGTAAAAGATATTTTGAAATGTAGCACAAGCGTCTTAGCTGCCCTGCTTTATAGCATTTTCAAAAATCCCAGCTCTCAGAGATTCCAGCATACTTCGGCAATCTATCGTCCAAAACCCGAGGCGATAAATGTTCCAAAATCCGATTTGTCGCGGTGCGTCCCGCAGCTCGCGGGTTTGTCTGAATCGGGAATAGCGTAGTAGTGTCAGATGCGCCAAGTCAACGGGTCACCTCTAGTCAGGAAAATCAATACCATGGCGAGCGCATATACGCATCTTTATTTACGTATTTCCCATCTGGGCTGCCAACCCAACCCGCAAATCGGAATAATCAAGAGATGTCGATTCTTCACTGAAGGATATTACTTCACTTCGATCTCAGACATTAGAGCCTCCATTAATGGCATCTATGTGTTGTATAAAACCACCAGTTATCCCTCAATGATTACTCAATCATTAGGAGGCTCACGACTTTTGGATTTGCCTGATTTGACAAAACAATGCAATCTATTGTTTCAGCCTCAAATCTTATTCCAATGTCGCTCTTCAGTTGATCTGCCAAGTACCAAGTCAGCGCCACCTTTACCCGGCTACTGATAAACATCCCGAAGTGATCGTATCTCAGACATATGGCACTCGCCGACTGCACCTATTCTTATGTGAATCATGATACCAAATAAAAAGTCTCATCAATTCTGGCTGATTATAAAGCCGACTTCGTTAAATCTATAGATATCCTGTTCTAAATCTTGTTTTAAATAATTATGTATTATGCTAATCGAACCACTCGATTGGGCTTACTAGGTCTTTATTCTGTATAACAGTCGTCATACTTTGAGAATCGTACATTAAATCCTCATTGTCATTAAATATGGCGTGTAACGTACTTAATACCAACACTAAGTATTAGGAGAGAAGAGAAGATATTACCGCGTGCTGCGAGTAGAATATTTGTTATATCAGCAATCTCAGAAAACATAGTAAAACATCACGTAACTTTAGTACTATAATCTACTTACAAAGCGAATGCTCTTCTAATTGTGTTAATTGAGAGGAATTTGCGCGAGTATCAGGCCAACTAGTAGTCCCTACGCGTTGGCGACGGAGCGTAGTCTCTGTTACGTGGTAGATCGACGCAGCTTGGCAGATAGATAGATATAAGAAAAACATTTGATTATATTTCATAGCATTTAAGATTTATGCTGCTCCTCCTAGCGATTTTGAGCGTTTTTCAGGGCGTTTTGGAGGCATAGCGGGTGGTGAACGATGGTAGGAGATGCGTAGGAATCGCGTTTTGATGCGGTGCGTTGTTCGCTAGTGAAGTACGCTATCTAGTAATCGCTTTTTCTACTGTTTTTTGTCTGTTTTTCTGTCTCTTTTAAAATCAATATTGGAAAGTATTCTCTTTTAAATACAGAGCATTAGCTCTTCATTCTGGAGCTAAGTCATCTCCTTCACCATCAACTTCCATGTGAAGATGTCTCTCAATACTAGACAGACATATTGAAAGCCAAATTGTCTACTCTTGACCAGATCCTTCAAACGTATCTCAAATGCCGCGCATGCCGGTGGATCTACTCGAAACTTGAACAGCATTTCCATTTAGTAATCATCTTTGGTGGAACTAGAAGTTTCAAAATGAACGCAATTTTCATGAAGAGTTCTTCATTTTATTCATAATTGGGTTGGCTGCTTCATTAAGCCCCCAAAAAAATTTTCAGCTCGGCATAGCATTTGTATCGAAAAAGCTGTGCATTGCGCGCCGTATAGCCGAGCCACACTTCTCGCGTATGTACAAGTAAAGAAGATATCATATCATATCCAATCAAAATATATTTTCTCCCGTTTTCATTTACTAAATTTCTGCCAACCGAGCTCTGTGCCACGTACCACATTGTCCTGAGGCTGAAATGGGGCTGAAAAACCCGCAGCCTTAACACGCATATCCGCCCCACAGCACGTACCTGCCAATGGTTCTCCCTGTGGTCTTTTCCTATTTTGGTTTAGCTCTATAATTTAAGCTATTGATTTTGAACAATCCATCTACCTCATAATAGGAATTTTTGGTGGTGAGGACCCACAGGCAGAGATCATAGATCCTATAGGCCTTGATCCTCTACTGTGGAAGCTGTGAATTAGACGGAATCAAACAATGAAATTCGAGGGGTATGTGATCAGAGCACCTGGTTGCGGCTGAGCAGCCACCCGCGTTTTTCGAAGTCGTCGGTAGTGCCCCACTATAAATAACGTTACCGAATGTTTAATATACAGTCAAAGGCGATATAACTATCGGCCAGCGAGTTCAACTTTTCCCATCTACATATTTTCTCAATCCCCATCATGGAAGCCAGATTTACTTACTCCTATCTCCATGTCTCTAAGACCAAAGGCGTCGAATTTTCCGCACAAAAATATCGTGACTTGCGCCTGCAAGCCTTGAAAGAATTCCCTGAATCATTTTTATCCACATATGAACTTGAATCAACTTTCACTGAAGCGGACTGGGTCAGTCGCTTGACCATTCCTGATCGTGAGGTCTTCATATGCGCTGCTACACCAATTGAACGGATTTCAACTGAGCCACATGTTGTCGAATGGATTGGTCAAGTCACCGTCCAAGGTCCTCTATCCAGAGCAGAATTTCTCCTTCCTGCTGGATACTGGCAGTCTCGACCAGAAGCCTATAGGGAGGAAGAGCGTTGGCAAATATTAAGTCTTTTTACTCTTCCAGGTCATCGAGGGAAAGGGTTAGGCAAGAATTTGTGTCGCGAGGCAATTACTTATCTCCGAAAGTATCAGTCCTTAATTCCGGGAATTCAAGTGCGTCTCGTATTGAGGCCAGATAATCATTCAACTGTGAAACTATACAAGGATCTTGGCTTTGTGGAGTCCGGAAGAGCCGCTCTGGTCGAAGCTGTCGTTGCTCATGGTGAATTAGACCTTCTCCCAACAAACACAAACCCCCCAAAACACTCGACTCAGGATGGTTTGATCATGGCAGCTCATTTTTCACGCGCATTAATAAATATGGATCTATTCTGATTTCAGAACTACCTCTCCTGTTGAAAACATACCAAATGAAGTCATGGGAAAGATAGTGTGATGCAGGAGAAAAGATCAGCGATATAAGGAATACAACGCATAGCAATTCCCTTGCGGTCAATTTTGAAGTTTGAAGGCTTGGATCAGTCAAATAAATAGAAATTTTTGTTCGAGTTTGAAACTTTTCTCACGTTTCTCATACATACGTGCAGCACACTTGATAGCTTCCCTTGGATCCTCCATATATATGTTAGCGGTCAGAGATTCAGCCAGGAATCCAGGGAACCCCAAGTCTAAGAAGCCTGGATACAATACAGGCTCTGGACTAATAGGCTACACTATTCACGTTGGCTCTAGTCAGCTTGCGAATCTGAGAATTGAGCTTCGCACAACGGAGACTCATACAAGAGTGAATATTTACCCTGGCAATAACTCGCGTTTGCATAGCATATCGTTAATTATTTTGTCGCAACGCTTACAGGAGTGGAGACCGATAATTTGTTGGAATTCTATAGGATTTATTTGCACAAACCGAGGACTAATGCAGCGTAGCAGTGCCTAATTATAGAGGATACCTAAAAGGAAAGGCGTAGAACACTATTAGTCCAAAGTTCAGCTGATCAGATGATTCTTCCTTGAATTCAAACCAAATAATATCGCGCCTAGGCTTCAAGATTGCTTAATAATGCGGAGAAATTTACTGCAGATAAGAGAGAGGAGCAGTCTTTTCGAATACGACGCTGCGGAGTGCGTGTGGGGTTGATGATCAGCGTCCGGCTAATAGCGCAACTTTATTCCCCTCTCTGGATCTTGTTATTTCCTCCGCTGGAGATTTACTTGTAATCGAATGGTCTCAAATGATCCCGCATTCTCAAGACTATCAATCAATTAGCTTCCTTTGATTTCCTCTGATTTAAAGATAAAGCTTCCGCCACAGATGGGACTATTTTTCCCTATAGGTTGCATGAACATCAACCCAAGGACAAAGAATACTATCAAAGCTTCTTTTTCATCATGAATCTGTGGACCAAGATTCTTGTATCAATTTATGCTCTTGGAGCTAAGGGTCAGAATGACACGCTTGGGCTCAGTGATGGATATGCCTCGTTTTCCACAACCAATTTTGATATCAAGCTGGTCAAAAATTCTCAAATTCTTGCGTCTCTAAAACCCGCTGGGACTAGCTTTGACTTTTTACCTTTCGACATGATTACAAACCGAGCAGCGAATGGACAATACCACAATGGAGATATTACCTACCGCTACCGAATATCTGGGGCGACAGATTGGCTGGCTGGTGACTCGTCAGCTGCCAGGAAGCCGATTAAGATTGTTAGTTCTAGTGATCTCGCTGCAGCCGATCTGACTCCATCACTCCCATTGAAATCTCCAATTCGTGTAATACGAACATGGTCTAACATCGATGGCGATCTTGGTCTTACATTCACGTTGACAAACACAGGGAATCAGAGTCTCGAGATAGGCAGTTTGGGGTTCCCAACGGAGTTCAACAGTATTTTCACGAGTCGCACAGCCGAGGATATGGCTGCAAAATGTTCGCTCACCGATCCTTACATCGGCATGGATGCGGGATATCTCCAGATCACCCCAACATCTGGAACGGGCGCGGCCTTGATTGTGACTCCACTAGTTAATACGAGCACTCCGTTCGAGGCATGGCGGAATCTCGATGAATCCAGCGTTGCACCACTCTATTATGGAAGCCAGACCTTCGAAGGGTTCTACGAATGGCAGACACACACCAAAGCATATTCTGAAAACGAGTGGGCTGGTGCTACACCATGGAATCAGCCTTCTTCTAAAGTCTTGTTGCCTAGCCAGTCAATCACGTATGGACTGCTGTTTTCAATTGTCACAGATGGTATTCGTGGGATCCAAAATGCTGTGCGAGACACCAAAACACCCTTGACTATTGGGATCCCGGGTTATGTTGTCCCGGCAGACCTTACAGCCCAGTTACATGTCTTGCACTCGAATTCGATCTCGAGAGTTGAGTCCGAAGGGGCTGCATTTGAAATTACCCAACAAACAAGCAACAAGCTCGCTCTGACTCCTACAGGAGCAGTTTGGGGCCGAACCAAAGTGACTATCACATATGTCGATGGCAAAGTCCAAACAGTCCACTACTTCATCACAGACTCCGCCCCAACGGTCATCACTAAGCTTGGCAAATTTACGACCACATCCATGTGGTTCGACGAAACAAACGACCCATTTGGTCGCGCCCCGTCCGTTATTACTTGGGATCATTCAACGGCGGCGCAAGTCCTCCAAGAGCCGCGAGTCTGGATCGCCGGGCTCAGTGATGAAGGCGGCGTGATCTATCTCGCAGGCGCCATGAAGCAATTCGCCCTAGCCGACGCCTCAGAGGTGATCAAATTAGAGCAATTCACGGAGGATGTGCTATCCACGAAAATTCAAAATCCCGATTTCACCATCCGCAAAAGCATTTTTTTCTACGAGCCGGAGCAAGTCCCAAACTACCAGTATGATCAGTCGATTGACTGGAGCAACTGGTGGTCGTGGAATAAAAATTCTTCATATGCGACAGACAGGGCGTACGACTACATCCATGTGATCGGCGCATATTGGGCGCTGTATCGCGCCGGGCGTGCCAATGAGTCGCTTTTGAGAATCCACGACTGGCAGTGGTATCTAAGCCAGGCCTACAACACTACCGTCACTTGCTTTGCGACAGACTCTTCAGGGACGGGGCTGATTGGCTACTCACGCCTAGGGCTGATGGGCGAGACTGTTGTCGGAGAACTACTTGCGGATCTTCGACGCGAGGACTGGACGAGCGAGGCCAATGCGGTCGAAGCGGCTATGAAGCTTCGCGCGGAGGCTTGGGCCTCTGAGGCAGTACCTTACGGGAGTGAGATGGCGTGGGACTCGACGGGGCAAGAGGGTATATACTACTGGAGCAAGTCCGTTACATTTTCCCATCTGGCGTCCATGCATCGAGCTGTTCGTTTCACTAACTCTAGAAAATAAGCTACTTCAATCTCACGGCAACCGCGACAAAGACAATTAACAGTATCATTGGATACATGCCCACCGTATCACATTGGGGCTGGAATGGGAATGCAAGGCGATACTGGGATTTTATGTGAGTGGTTTTGTCTCCGCAACTCCCAACGATGTCTAAGAAACGGTTTAGCTATGCTGGAAAGCTGCAGCGCATCGAGCGCATGATCCACCATTACGGATCCGGCCTCAACGCCCTGCCCCTTCTGGCGCAATTCCGTCAAGATGCCAACGATACGTATCTCCTACGCGTGGGCTACGGTGGCATCAGCGGCCCGCTGAGCAACATCCGGCAAGACGGGTCCATGTACAATGGCTTCCACTCGTTCCCCGAAACTCTCCGCGGGGATGACTATTCAGGTGACTATGGGCCTAACTTCCTAGGCATGATGCTCGGATCGGGTGTGTATGTCGTCGACGACCCCGACATCGGCCTGGTAGCATATGGTGGCAATATAGACGTGTCAGGTCGTACTGTCACTGTGCACCCACGAGACGCCGTACGTAGGCGGGTCTATGTTGCGCAAATGGGCGTCTATGTCATCCTCAGCGCGGGCCAGATCGAGAGTCTCGCGCTCGACACATCGGATTTCTCGTCACTGAAGCTACGCCTCGTGCCCGGTCCGGCGGAATATACTTCAGCGATTTTATGGGTGGAGACGCCCGGCACAACTGACATTTACTCTGTGAGCGGGGCGACGCAAAAGCAGCGAGATGGCTGGTTAGTGGAGCTTGGTTCTGAAGGGGCTGACGTGACCGTATTGAAAGTGTAGATGGAGGGATTTTATTTGGTAGGCATTGTAAATCATTGCATTTCGCATGTTCTTTTTTAAAATTATTCAATGGAATGAGGTTGACTCATGGCTGCATCGTATGGCAACTCCTGACTGAGAACGAGCGTCAGTCAGAAGAACGCTTGGCTGGCGGTTCAGGGCGATCAAGGTCGAACTTGGTACTTGGTCTTCGTTTTGTTCGAGTCACTAGCACAGAAAATCACCCTTGGGTGAACGTTAGCTTCAGGTCCATTCTGTCGATGATGTAAACCCGAGAGATTGAAATATTGTCACGGATGAGATTCCAACCAGTCGATCCGAGCCCACAGTTCCCACTAGCTACGGAGAATCGGGGCCATAATGCAATTTGAGAAAATGTCCAAAAGGATGGTGGAAGAGAGAGGAGAGGACCTGTAAGAGGAAAGATTTGACCCCATGCTGACCTATCTTTTCGAAATCCTTGAGCTCTTGAGGTAAGGAGATATGCGGGCTGGGGTTGGAAGCTGTTATGCTATTATACTACGTATCTCATTATTCCGTGAACGAGTGAGCCGACTCGCTGGCCTTCCAAGTCGGCAAGGGTCTTCTTGACCCTCTACTAAAAAAGGACGAGATCTAATTCAAGCAGTGAACAGAGCGTATCCTCATCAGTGTACATGACTTAGGCATGATGACATTTGAAAGGGATCGGCAGTGATTCGCCACAGGTATGACGATCTAACCTCCGTTCGCCATTTTTTATAGGCAAGGTAAATCCCTTCAATCTTTGACGATCACTGACGTCCAATTATGCCTTGTGCAAAAGTACGTGACTTCGGGGGGGGGGGGGGGGGGGGGGGGGTTGATCTTGAGAGTATACCTCACACTGGTACGAAGATGGTCGATCTGTGGATCGTGGATCTTTCGGGCTCGCCCTGGAACCAGGTCATGTGATCTTGAGTCACAATGCGAAGGGAGTCATCGCTAGGTAGCAAATGCTTCGACGGGTATTGAAAAAGAAGATACTGAAAAGGCAAAACAAAAAAAGGGCATTTTCGTGAATACGTCTGATGAGTCGGATTACAAAGGAAGCGGAAGATTGTCCAGCAAAAAATGGTGTTATTAAAATAGGTGTAACTATATACAGGAAAGCATTTTGGAGTCTATCGTTAAGAGTTGTCGTCACATCGTAAATCGTTCAGTTGGGGAGAAAAGGTTTCAAAAGAAGAGGTCGGAAGAGATGAGTGGGAGGTCGAAGGCCATGGTAGTGGGTAGAGTCGAGAGAGAGGGAGAGACAGAAGGGGGGCCGTATGAAGTCTAGCCGGCGATGGGGGTCACCGAGATGCAGCAGAAATTCTCCTTGGAGGAAGTCACTTCAATGCAGTGACTTTGGTCGAAGAGAGCATTCTCGGGAGACAGAGATGGAGGAATTGCAATGGTAGAGGCATCCGAGACTGGCTCAGTGAGTTCCACGCGAACCATGGTGGTCTGAGGCGAGTCGAAGGATTCCTTCTCTTCGGGGCGGTCGTTCTCGTCTTCTTCGTCGGTCTCTTCGAACTCAAACGAGCTCATGCGAGACTTCATGTCATTCTCTGTCCACATCACTGAGCCACAGTGTAGACGGAAATGAGCTACACAGCGGCGGAGATCGGGGTCGGGGGCCGTCGCTTCACGCGCGAGCTTCTCCTTGGACATGACAGTGAGCTTATAGGGGAGGGCGTTTCGGTTTGCCATCGGGGGCCAGCGTTTATTGGTATTCTTCTGGAAGAGAGGAACGGCAGGTGTCGGTTTGGGAGTTGCAGGAGTTTTGAGGCCCAGGTCAACGGTCATACTTGTCCGGTGCTGGGCGATGGAGATGGCGGATCGTGATCGATGATTTTATAGATCGGGAATTTATGGATGCGGATGGGCTTGGGGGAAAGGAAAATCTTCAACCCAGCTCGCAACGGGTATTGAAATATAGAGAGATTGTAGTATTGTAGTATTGCAGTATTGCAATTGATCGAGTTTCTAGATCAAAGGGAGGAAAGAGGAGAAGGAAAAAAAAAAAAAGGATTGTCAAGCTGAGCAGGGTCTGAAGACTTATGGTGCGACTGGGGAACCTGGTCCAAGCAATCGGTCAGCAAGGTCAGCCGACCAGGCCAACCGTTCTAGACTGTCGAGGACCAACGCAACCGGGGCTTCGGTGGGGTTCGCGGGCGCCAAACCAGCCCGGCCCAGCCAGTTCGAGGGCTTCGAGGACTTCGAGGGCCCCGTTCGTGCAGCCTTTTACCGAACTCACCCAGTCTCGGCTTTTCTGTGCTATTTTTCCCCTACAATGCCCCCCCCCCCCCCCCCAAGTCATCCAACAATCTCAGTCGCCCTACAACGATGGAAGACACAATAGTTGAACTCTATTGCCCATCAAATGATTCATTGGTCGTTTCTTTCCTTTCCTTCCCTTTTCTTTTCTTTTGTTTGAACTTCCTTTTTTCTTGTGCAAGATCTCTTTGTGAATTGGGGACTGTGTACGAGTGGCCAAAGCCGGCTATTCGGCGCTCTGCCCCTTCGAGCGGTGGCCGAGTGGAGGAGGCCCAGTTTTCTGATCAGTTGATACTTCGAAATTTTTTCGGTGGAGACCCTGCTCGTAGCTTATCTTCCTTCGACCATAGAAATAGAAACGTCGCACGGGGAAACTCACGATCTCCACGGACTACCGTGTTAGGAAATCCGAAGCCCCTCAACTTTTCGTGCCGGGTCGCGTTTTCGGCCCTTGGGCCCTTGAGCCATACTGCCGACAGCGGCGACCATTGACGGACGATCCTCCCTATGTCGCCCTATAGCGATGCTCTCGCACTGTCCAGTCTGTTGACTCCCGGCCGTTGGAGATTCACCTCATGCCGTCCTCCAACCACAACCCCCAAAGACAGACGACTCGAAGCGTGGAACATTCATGAAACGCCGCGTTCCTGAACATCAGGTGACTCCGCACTGTGGCTTCGACGTGGATCCGGCCCTGAATAAAATGTCGATCTTCCGTGTTCGGGAGTTGGGCCCCTAACTCACTACTAATCACGGATCGTAAAAAGAATCAGAACGGGGAAGGCGGGAGAACGACGAGAAAGCAGCGAACCAGCTATGATAGGTGGAGATGAAGGACGGAGTCCAACTCCAGCATTGGCCCAAGTTGTACCGCCTCCTTTCAGGACGTTCCGTCGAAGTGCCACGGTCACAACATCGGGATTCGTCTCGGGTCGATTCTGTCGATAATGACTGGGAACGTGCTCTGCGGGTTGCTCTCCTCATGGCCGGTTGCCCCATGGCACGATTCTGGAAATCTGAGTGATGACTAGGATTCGACATTGGTCTCCCGCGACGTGGATCTCGCCACCCTCCGCCCCTCTCTCGATCATCTCCATTCCCTTCCACCTCCGAAGCCGGATAACCTTGGTAACCCACCGCTACCATTCAATGGCCTTGTCAAAGCGCCCACATCGGGGTTTATTTTTGGAATGAGGATCACTACGACACCCCTTCCCCCTTTTTCCCCTATGCTTTGTCTCAATAGGGACCAGGGTGTCGGCCCCTAGCCGCCTCTTCTGATTGTTTCTTATTCGTTGGTGCGGGAGTGGTGCCTCAGGCATGATATCCCCAACAATCAGCTCCCTGGGCGCATCGGAAGCGGGTCTACAGAGTGCTCCGTACATCGCCAACACACGGCTCATATAAGCGCCCTTGGGATCGCTCTCAGATACACCAACCAGAGCGCGACTCACCCGACTCACCAATTTTTGACCCTATATATAGAGTCGCAGAGCGCTAACCTACTCAGCTGGGACTTTCACCGAGTCCTTTTCCCTGTGCCTCGGGCGATAAACTGGCCGAGGAAGGTTCTACATAACACGACACACGCGACCCACTAACTGTTTTGGAAGGTGTATAAGGCGCAGTTATGGATTTTCCATCCGTTCTTGCCCAGGATGTCATGCTGGTTGCGCTGTTGGGAAACTCCTCAACATTACGCCCCAGATAGAATCCTCCGGTCTACTTGAGGTCTATTTGACTAGGCCAAGACTATGCGACTCGACGATCAGGAGCGAAAATATTGCCCCGCGGAAGAATACGATAGGACAATAGGTAACAATCACTGTGAACATCTCGAATCTTGAATCTCAAACTCTGTAGTCACTACTAAAGAGGTCAGTGGGATTGGAAATCAGACTAAAGAAATTCATCAACGATGAATAGTTTGTCTCTGCATAAGGTATTGATTGCTATCGCAGCCTTTCAATTCAATCTGGGCATGAAAGCCAAGGCTAGACTTGTGATTGTTGCTCAAAGGGTAAATGACTTCCATGAGATATGGTTGTTGCTGTAGTATTTGCATCTTGTCAGATGCTCTGCGTCAGCGTGTATTCTATTTGATGATAGGCATACTGAAGACCTTTCAAACACAACAGACGGATTTTGCTGTGGCCATTAATTAATATCAATATTAGGAAGATAATTACATTAATTGTATATTTACCTCCTGAGGATCAGGAGATAGACCACAAGATTGAATCACCAAAATCTTACGTAGGGCTGCGATAATGTTTGCTATCTAGTGGACTAGGAAATCTGGAGACGTACCACTGATTACGTATATGTCTAGCAGTGTCTCCGCCCACCCACACCGCTTCCGTGTTGTGGGTGTGCCACACTCAGACCGTCACCCACAGTCAGACCGTCATTTTTTCCTATTTCTCCTATCTACTACTGCATCCCACTAGTATCTATAAAGAAACCCTGCCCGTTCTGACGTGCTTCCTCTGCTCTATCCAATGATGCCTGGGATTCCTATGTAGGTTCTGGTGGTGGTGATGTTCCATACGCTTTCTTCCACTGCTTCCTCACCCGCTTCCGCTCTGCCTCCGCTTCCTTCTCGTTTCTTTTAGCAATAGAACGATTTGCATCTCTAATAGAGAGCACCCCTGTTTTGCTAAGCGGCGTTTTAACCTGGCGCTTAGTGATTAGGCGCTGTAGTAGTTGTTGAGCTTCCCTAATCTTACGAATAGTATCGTTCGCTAGATTTAGGTTCTCTATAGCAATCTTGTTATAATAAAATAACCGGTCAAGATTGCGTTGCTGCCTAGGTGTAAGATCTTCTTGTTGATATCTAGTAATCTTCCTTTGATTCTTTTCTAGATCCTGTATAGATCTAGGCAGCGATTAGTCGATACTAGAAGAAGATATAGGTAGTGGTGAAGGTGTTGTATAAAGCGGTTGTAGATCTAGCGCTCTAAGATCTAGGCAATCTTGGATAGGAAGGCTATTAATAACCTTGCTACTATCGACTAGATATATCCTACGATCTTTAAACGATTCACGAATAATTCGCTAGCTAAACGCTCTATTCCGAATATTACCGATTATTCGAAGGAACTCTAATCTTCCGATAGGGCTTCTACCCTAAAACGCGTGGTCGTTATTCGCTAAGCGGAAGTGTTGCTTATAGCTTAGAAACGGCTTACCGTCTAGCGGCTAGCAAAGATATATAGTATATAGTAGGAATCCTATAGGTAGGATATTGTTCTCTTCGCAAAGGTGTAGGAATTCGAATATAAGATGCGAACCGTGGCCGTCGAATATTAGGATACGTTTTTCACCTAGTTTCGTACGGTCGTATATTAATTCTATAAAGAATCGAAGCTATTGAACTGCTATATTATCGGTTATCCAACCGTTTAGCGATGTAGTAATAGTAGTTCTAGGTGGTAGGTCTTCTGTTTGATTAAACCAAGATTCTATAAAGATACCGTTGCCTTTAAAGATGAACCAGGGTTCTATCTGCCACCCGTCGGCAGCGATATACTCGATAGACGTAATATTTTCGCCTTGGTCTGGCTGAGGAAGGTCTACTATCTTCCTACTACTACTACTAGTAGTAGTAGTAGATATAACGTTTCTAGACCTTCCTTCGCCTAGTTGAAAGCCGTATTCATTAAAGTTATAGACTAGACGTGTAGGCGTAGTCTTTTTGATAGTTTAGGCTAGTAGATCGTACCAATTCGCTAATACTGCTAGGTCTTCTGCTAGGATTCGCTTTGATTCCTTCGTATACTGCTTAGTAGGCCCTAATTGAAGATGTTTAGGAAGCCTATTAATAAAGCGATACGCCCATATCTTGCTAATCGGCGGCTTCCCGACGCGTTGGCATGCACGATTCGCCCACGATTCTAGTATCCTAGGAGTGATAGGCATATAGCAATCGTTCATATATTGAATCCAGCGAACTAAGGCTTCTTCTTGATAGGGTTCTAGAGCGCGTTTACTAGCATTCTTGCTAATAGTAAGCCTTGCTCCTTTTTTGATTCGATCAGAAAGCGTTGTTCTTGGTACGCCAAATTCGCGTGCTAAACGCGCTATATTCGGCTTCTCCTCGCGTGATGCAGCTAGGCAGGCCTCAGCCATACGAGATTCATCGAATTTAGGCATATTTTGATGGTGGTGTTGGATAGGGAAGCAAAAAATAGGATATAGGAAAAAATGACGGTCTGACTGTGGGTGACGGTCTGAGTGTGGCACACCCACAACGCGGAAGCGGTGTGGGTGGGCGGAGACACTGCTAGTATACTGTGGAGATGACACGCATTTGTCCCAAAAGAAAACGGTGAATGAAAGGCACTTTTTTGCTTCTTTCAGTTGCTAATGCAGCTATAGTACATCGAGTTCATTGTCATGATGGCGAGAAACAGATCAATCCAAACAGTAAATTGTATCATCCTACACATTGAGCAATGAAAAATGAGCAGCAATAATGATTCATATTACTTTCCGTATTCAATTTCCAAGAAATCCCCCACATTATT